GATGGCGAAGATTTCCCGGAGGTCGTCAGCATGGCTGGAAGATTGTTTGCTTTTGACGATCATGTCGTCAACATAGGCCTCCATGGTGCGCCCTAGGACGGCTTGAAAGACCCGGGCCACCATCCGGGTGTAGGTGGCCCCTGAGTTCTTTAGGCCGAAGGCCATGACTAGGTAGCAGAAGATGCCCTCGGGAGTCATGAAGGCAGTTTTTTCGGCGTCTTCCTCGTGCATAAAAATTTGGTGATACCCTCAGAAGGCATCGAGGAAGGACATGATCTCACACCCTGCGGTCTCATCCACTAGTTGATCAATATTTGGTAGAGGGAACGGGTCCATAGGGCACGCCTTGTTGAGATCGGTGTAGTCCACGCACATGCGGAAGGTAGGGGGCTTCTGTGCGAGGACTACATTCGCCAGCCATGAGGGATATTTCACCTCCTTGATGTGCTTAATGGAGAGGAGCATGGCGACCTCCTTCTTCACAAATTCCCTCCTCTCTGCGGAGAGGGGTCTTCTTCGTTGTTGTACTGCCTTTGCCGAAGGGTCCACCAAGAGGCGGTGGGTGATGACCCTTCGGCTGATTCCCGGCATGTCCTCCGGCCCCCATGCAAAGACAGTGGAGTAGGCGCGGAGGGCGTCGGTGATACCGGTCTTCAAATCTTCAGGGAGCTGGGCTCCAATCTTCACGACTCTCTCCGGCTGGGCCGGATCGAGCGCGAAGTCTTCTACGTCCTCGGCTGGTTCAGCCCTCGGCCTTTTCTCTTCTTGGTCGATGGTTCCGGTGATGGTGTCAACACGGAATTCCGTCTTGCTTACCTTCTTAGTGACCTGAAGATAGCAGGCGCGGGCAATTTTCTGGTTCCCCCGGGAGTAGCCAATGCCCCCCTCGGCGGGAAACTTGAGGCAGAGGTGCCTCATGGAGATGATGGCTTCGAGGTCCTCGAGGGCTGGCCGGCCGAGGATGATGTTGTGGGCGCAGTCAATGTTGACGACGACGAACTCCACCTCGAGCTGGGCTCTATGGAGCCCGTCGCCGAAGATCACCGGGAGGGTTATTACCCCCTCGGAATCAATAGTGTCGCCGGTGAAGCCGGCAAGAGGGGTCTTAATGGGCCGAAGGGACCCCCTCTCCAGATGCAGCTCTCTGAAGGTGCTGAGGTACATTACATTGACGGAGCTGCCCGTGTCAATGTAAGTTCGGTGAATAATGATGTCGTTTATCTCCGTCCGAATCACCAAGGCATCCCTGTGAGGAGAAGAAGTAGGAGGGAGATCTGCGTTGGTGAAGGTGATGGGTTCCTCCCTCAGTCTCTTTACCGGGGGCATATGAGTGACTTCCCCCACGTAAAGCGATTGAGCCCACTTCTTTCGCTGGCTGGTGGAATCGCCCCCTGTATTGCCACCGGTGATCATGAGGATGTGGCGTTTCTTCTCCTGGTAGTGGGGGTACTCCTCCTCCTCTTCTTCCAAGTTTCCGATCTCCCTCTTCTTGCCGAGGGGGATGGTTTTCGGATTTACCCAGGCATTTACCTTCGTATGGTGCCCTCGGGGAGGTCCCTGATGAGAAGGTCCCTCCTGCCGAGGGCTCTAGACAAATTGGGACAGGTGCCCCGCCTGTATTAATCTCTCGATGGCCGTCTTCAGCTGATGGCAGTCATCGGTCCTGTGCCCCTGGTGCCGATGGAAGCGACAGTACGGGAACTGAGGGTTGATAGCGTGTACCTCCGGGGGTGCGCGAGAGTCGCGCTCAACGAGGCCCCTCTCCTCGGCAAAATCGAGGATGATGCTGACGGGGTGCGTCAATGGTGTCCGAGGGCGGTCCAGGAGAATGGGCTGGGCCCAAGTCTTAGGGTTGCTCTTATAACCTCCCCCGGGCTTGGCTTGGCCTTGCCGAGGGCGGTCATCAGAGGGTCCCGAAGCCTTGGGGTGATTTGGAGGAGCCCCCGGCCCTCAGTTATGCTTGTTGTCAGCCCTCGGGGGCTGCTGGTCCGGATGCTGGTGATACTTCTCCACCTCCTCGGCCTCAGCATATCGGTCCCCCCGCTGCAAATCCCTTATGTAGTCGCGGGGGGGTTCAATGATGAGGCTCCTTGAAAAGTTGCCGGTGCAGAGGACGGTTTGTAGGAGGGCCAGGAGGGTCCCGTCATCAGCACCGTCGACCTTGTCGGCCTCCGTCCTCCAGCGCTCTAGGAAATCCCGGAGGGTCTCATCCTTCTTCTGGCGTATTGTTAGGAGGTGGGAGAAGTGCTTCCTCGTGCGACGCCTCCCGGCAAATTGTGTCAAGAATCGCTGGGCGAGTTCTTGCCATGAATCAATACAGCCCTTGGGCAGCCTGTTGAACCATTCGTATGCCGGCCCCTCTAAGGTGGAGAGGAACCAACGACACAAATATTCATCCGACGCCCCTACCATCATCATGTTGTTCTGGTACTTGCTGTAATGTTCCTGGGGGTCCGTTTTCCCGTTGTAGGGCTGTATGTGTTGCCCTCGGTATTTCTACGGGATCCGGGCCGCCAACACCCTTGGGGTAAATGGCGTCCGAGTCCGGAGCTGGATGACGGGTTCTCCGGAGCCCTCGGCCACCTTCTTCTGCAACTCCTCCATTTTGGCCATCATGGCCTCGTATTTGAGATCTGAATGAGGGGTGTAGGTGGTGGCGTGAGCTTTGTTGGACTCCATCTCGTCAAGCCGGCGTTGGAGGGCCGCAATAATCTCGTCCCGGGGATCCTTCGGGAGGGTCTCTGCCCCCTGCGAACGAACCCGGGCCGAGTGGGCCTGGTTGATCTGGTGGCGAGCGTCATTGGCATGAAGGGGTGCCTTGCCTTTGTCCCGAGGGGGACGCTCCTCGTCTGCCCTCGAAACAGATCCCCCGCTTTCCTGGGGCCTTTGGAGCGCTTTCCCCCCTCGGCGGTCTTGGACCCCTCGGCGATCTGGCCCTCCTCCGAGCCGGTTGAGGGCGGAAGTACGGGGCCTTTCCCTGTTGTGATTATGGCGGTCTCGGGACTGAACTTCCTGGGAGGACGTATCTTGGGCCACCACCCCTTCGTCGTTTCTCACCCGAGGGGTGGGATTTCCGAAGGGGTGTGGCAGAGGGGGAAGTATGATATTTTCCCCGATCTGAGGGTGAGCTGGAGCCAGGGTGCCGAAGGCACCCGGGTTCTGGGTGAGCGTTTGGATGAAGGCGGAGAGCGCCGATTGTACGTCGATGGTGAGAACCGGAGGGCTGACTTGGTCATCGCTCCGGTTTTTCTTCTTGGCCTCGATGCCGAGGCGGGCATCGGGGGCATTCTGTTGGATCTGAAGGCGTAGATCGACAGCCGCATGTTCCAGCCCAGCGATGACACCGCCCTCGGGAGCCCTGTGAGAGGCTTCGGGGGCGTTGACGTCGCCGAGGGCCAGGTTCTTGTCTTCTACGTTCTTTGAGTTGGCACGTGTTGTCCTCACCATTTTGATGGAGGGCTAGTGTTTTGCGTTTGATCGAGGGGGAGGGTTTCTTACTTGATTGTTCGACCTCTCAACGAGAGCACCAAATGATGGATAGTCTACCCGGGGGTATATATCCGAAGGGTTATTACGGGGAATAACTTAGAGAGAAGTCAAAGCAAGTAAGTAAATGTAGAGAGAGAGTATATTCAGTATGAATGCCGTTTTCAGCGTGGTTACAAATGAGGAAATGGGGTGCTATTTATAGTAGCAATAAATGTCGGGCAGGGACACGTGTCAAGCGCTCATTGGCCGAGGGGTCACCTCAACTGGTTGGCGCTGGCAGCCGCATGTGGCCGCATTTAATGCGGCTGTTGGATGGGACGTCTATGCGGGGTACGGTTATCTGTACGCATGTGAGGCGGATATCTTGTCGAGTGAGATGCCTTCGGCTATAGAGCAGTAGCCGAGGGCTCTTCCACCCGATGGCACCCTGGTGCCGAGGGCTCACAGTGCCGAGGGCTACTGTTTTCGCCGTTTTTTCCCAGTTTCTTAATTTGCTTGAGAAACCCGTTCTGTGAGAATTTGGAGCCTTCGGCCAGGGGGGCGAAGGCACCCCTGACGCGTAGTGCGGACTGCTTGGTACTCTGGGCGCTGTGGTTTGGGCCTGTTGAGCTTCCTGGGCCTGTTGGGCCTTCATTGGTGTAGTAGGAGTCTGTGGGCCGGGGGTTCCCGGGCCATATACTCCATCAAAAGTCTTTTGTGTGATTGTCTGTAGTCCTATAATAGGCGTTGGCCTCTGTAATTTCTGCAAAAAATGTTGAGTTATGACTATTTATTTCTCAGTAATTAGTTATTCATTCCATTATTGAAGTGAATTGAAGTGGCTGGTGGGTTGGGGAGGGGGTTGGGGAGGGGGCTTATTAGCTTATGGGCTAGGGAGGAGCCGGTGTGGTCACGGTTAGGGTGGCGGCTGTGTACGGTGGTGGTTTCCAGGTGTGTGTGCGGGGCTGAGTGCGAATGTAGGAGTCGGGGGGTGGTGGTGATCGGCCGTTGGTCTGGCGGCGACAATTTCGCTGATCGAAAACAGTCATAGTGACATTTTTTTCGGCGGCAGTGACATTCGTACGTCTGTAAGTGATATTAAAATAAGGTAGTGACATTCATAAGTGACATTAAAATTCAGTAGTGACAAAACATAGTAGTGACACGAAAAAATCGCAGTGACAAAAAAAATACAGTTACATCATGGTTTTCCAAATATATGACCTTGTTAGTCACTTTTTTTCCACATTTAAAAGTAGTCACTTTTTTGGAAATTGACTTTAATTAGTTCTTGTCAATGTTAATTATTTGACCTTGTTAGTCACATTTTTTGTGGAAATTGACATTTTTTTTCCACATTTTGTGTACTAAATTATATTCCTTGTTAGTCACATTTAAATATAGTTTTCCAAATATATGACCTTGTTATATTAGTCACATTTTTTTACAATAAAAGTATTTAGGGTAAAACCCCAAATAAAAACCTTAACTTCAGCATTTAATTTGTCAATGCTAATGAAAAGTACACATGTGCTTGTATGTATCATTTATTATGATGTGCTCAACTTTTAAGCAAGGACATTATTATGTTTAATACGGAGTACAACTTATGCACTAACAATCACATGTTAATAGCTAATTAAGCTAGGTATCTTCGATCTCTCTACTTATAGTTGAAGATCAATTATTCTTTCCAAGAACAAGAGATCAGAAATGTGACCTAATTTCTTCAATCACTTCTGCATCCACTCTGAAAGACTTGGACAATATATCCACAGGGATTGCAGAGTCTTTTCCAAAGAGCTGAGGTGGCACAAAGTTGAAACCTGGACTTTGACTATTGAAAGCTGTAATAGTAATTGCTGTTTCATTGCCACTGTTTTTACCAAAATGGACAAGCCCTGGGGGTATCACAAATACATCTCCAGCTTTGTATTCTCTTGCATACACCCGACTTTTGGTGCCATTGGTTGGGTCAACGGTCACAAATCCAAAGTACATTTGCCCTTGTAATAGAAGGACCATCTCAGTGGCTCGAGGGTGGGTGTGGGGTGGGGTGACCGACCCGGCCGGAAATTCGTTTCGGACCAAAGTGAGCCCGAGGGTGTTGAGCCCGGGTATTTCGTTAACGCTAGCGACGCTAAATGTTGAGCCCGGAATTGATGGCACCGGGGACGACGACGTATCTAGACCCGACGTGAAGAAATCATCTACTGTTACAAGTTTTGGGTCCTTGCATGTCCTCCCATTCACCAAAACTGCACACAATTTTCAAAGTTAAGCTACAAATATACTAAACTCTTGAAGCATATATATGTCAAATTAAGATAAAAGTTGTCAATATTGTAATAACACAAAGAGTTAATTATATTCCACACCTGGTCATATGTTAATTCCATATTTCATCCATATCTGCTTTTATTTTATCCACATATGATACTTAACTAATACTTTCATCCAATTTTCCTTTTATATATGAATGGATCATATATGAACGAAAAACAATAGTCATGTACTAAAAGCGATCAAAATCAAAGACGTGAATTAATTATGCAATTGTTGTGATACTCATAAAATCAAAAGTGAAATTTATTCTAAAAACAAATCCTCCAAATTAATAATGGAGGGACATGTACATGTTTTTGTGGCGAGTTAAATATATACGCGTGTGTGTCGGTGTGTAAATAATTTAAGATACGTATGTTGTTAAGAAATTGACCTAAAAGGAATGAAAAATACGTTGATTTTCCTATATATGGTTATTGTACTACCTCCGTCCCAAAAAGATTGACTAATTTGACTATTTTTTATAAATGATGTTAAAATTTAGATAACGATTTTAGGTATTATATTTGTATTTAATTTATAAATTTTATACTTTTATGAAAAATATTTTAACAAAGAATAAACTCAAATAATTTTCATTTTTTAAATAATTTTGTATTAAAAGATATAATTAATCAAACTTGATCACCATTGACTAAGAAAAGTCAATTTGGCCAATCTTTTTTGGACTGAGGGAGTATCTTTTTTTCTAAATATAAGTAAATATTGTCTTCTTGAAATCATGATCATACCAAACTGTCGTCCTTTGGTGTAGTGTTGCCATTACATGTTAGTGTGGTTTCAGAATGATAGTAATTTATTCTGATTTTTATTCTGATTTAGCATGTTTTTACTTGGACTGTTTTTAGTCCCAAGCGAGACTAGACTAGATTTAAACAGACCAAACAAGACTATATCATGCTTTTGTAGTTATAAAATACACAAAGATCAAACATTTACTAGAACCAGACCAATTCAGATCAGACTTAAACAGACTAGACCAGACCAGACCAAAATTAGACAGACCAGACTTTCGTAGTTACAAAATGCACAGAGATCATATATTACCAGACCAGATTAGACTAGACTTAAATAGGCCAGACCAAATCAGACCAGCAAATTACAGCACGAGTAAAAACATCTTTAAAGGGTGATCGAATATGGTACTCATGTTTAGTGAAGTCACCTTGTTTTACTCGTGTTTTTGAAAATTTCCCCCATGTTCTTTTAATTCAAATATAGTTCTAGAGTACATTTAGTTCCAGGTTATAATTTATTTTTTTATGATTCCGAAAAATCGTTGAGGGATAATATATTTGTTCTAGAGTACATAGTCTTCTCTCAACAATTAGAAGAAGTGATCGAATTGCATACATTATACTACTTCCGTTCTCTTTTAATTGAAACATTAGTTTTTTGTAATATTCACATATTCGACTTTGACTATATTTTATTTATTGATGCATTATAAATTAAATTTTTAAAAAATATTTTTAAATTCCTCTCAGTTTAAATTTTCAAAATCTGAAATTTTTAATTTTTAATTTTTTTACTAATAAAAAAATGAAAGATATTGATGGTCAAACTTTGTGCGTTGGCAAGCGTAAAAAGTGGACTGTTCCAATTAAAAAAGAACCGATAAGTATATGCATGTTTACGATGATTATAACAATATAGGCGCTATAACTAACTAAGAAGCAAGAATGGCATGATAAGTACCGGTAGCTTTTGGATCTGCAACACAAAAGTCTTGAACAGGATTGGGATCGTAGGCATAAGCAAATGAAAACGCAAAGGCAACAAAAAAGACAAATGTTGTTGTCAAGTGAGAATCCATTGTATTGTTGTAACTTTTGTGTGATCCTATGGTTTGCGAAAATGAAATATTTATAGGGGTGCATGTCGATCCATTGATATCAAATAATATTGTCTTAATTTATCTTTTTTATTTTTTATTTTTCAAACCGGACAAATTTAAATTAGGAAAGATTATGCTTTCCTTTTGGTGTTAATTCATTAGCATATAAGTTCATGTGAAAATAATGACCTAAGTGTCTCCATTTGGAAATAAGCACAAACTTGTTTTCCTTCTGCATGTGATTCTGTCCTTTTAAAGTCTACGTAATTGGACATGATGCAATATTTTTTGGTCAAGAGATTTGTATAATTAAGGAGGAATGCACATGTAGGATACTAGATTTACACCGTAATCAAATTTAAAAAAACTTGCATTCTATTTTGTTTAAATATTACATGTTAGTTTAGAGTAATATAATGGAAGAGTTATATTACCTTCGTCCCATTCAACTTTGCCAAGTCGATGTTAGGTGAGAAATTAGAATAGTAATATTTGCGTGGTTGAAATTTGTGCAGAGGAGAGAGAAAAGAAAAGAGCCACAAAAACATTGCTTCAAAAGGAAAATGAAAAAGTTTTTTTAGACAAACAAAAAAAGAATGTTGGCAAAGTCCAGTGGCACGGAGGGATTATATAACAATGTTTAACTGTTTCAAATATTTGAGCGTATAGTTCATTTTTCAATAGAGGCCAAATACGGAGTATCAAAATTTTCCAATATAGGGGTCAAATATACGGAGTACTATTTTTCCAAAAAACAAATTACAAAATATCAAATTATATGAATTTTTATCATTTGAAACCCAACTTATTTTTTTAACTCAATTCTATAATTTAGTCCATGTAAATAACTCTAAAACAATCCGATACAAAAACTAATCACCCCACTAAAATCGTACATAAATAAATTTAGTGTTAGGGTTTGAATCCTTAGATCTTATTTCCTCTTTCTACAATTTTTTTTCTCCATTGATGATTACCCATTTCACATACTACATATTTCTCTTCATCTATCTTTCATCCTCTTTTGAGTTTAAAGCCCCATTTCTCGTTTGACCATTTATTGTCCCAGTGACGATCATACCCGTGTTTGCAGGGAAAATGTAGAAGGAATTGTCAAATTAGAAATAAAAATGTTTGTCAATTCCAGGATGAGATTACTATATTTTTATTTCTATTTACTAAAATTTTTGAAATTGTTTCTAAATAGAAAGTTACTATTGAAAATTTTGAAATTGTAAAACTTTAGTCATAACCGTACTAATTACTACATGATTTTAAATAAAGAAAAAAATATAATGCTCTTATTTTAAAATTTTAGAACATTTTTTGCTCATATTTTGGAAATTATCTTTGTGTCATAACTTATACTCCCTCCGTTCCAAATTGATGATCTTATACTTTTTAGGCTCAAATATTAAGAAAATATGATAGAAGGACTCATATAACCTTACTATATTATACTTTTCAGACATTTACTTTTAGTGATTATTAAAAAGGAGAGATATAAATGATAGTCTATTTTAATTTCTTTACCAAAAAGGGAAAGATAACTATCATTTTGGTACACCCAAATAGGAAACACAGGACCATCATTTTAGGACATAGATATAGTATTAAATATTTTATCATTCAAATTATCGAAATTAAGCAAAAAAAAAATCAAATACTGTACAAAACATGATACTTTTGGAATAAAAAGTAAATATAGTTACATGAACATCATCTTTTGAGATAAAAAGTAAACATTTCAGGATCCAAGTAAAAAACACTCAATACTAAGTTTAACAAATAGAGTCATCATGATGGAGGAACTACAACTAAAACTAAAAATGCAAAGCTTGGCACTCCACATCGAGGCACCGACCCGGTTGTCTCCGAAGTCCGAACCAAGATAAACAGTTGTCTAAAATCGAGGTTGACGTGTTCGACCCACATGGAGTATAAGAGGTGTATATGACGAACTAGATCTGGGTAATTTTTTTCAAGACTTTGTGCAAGAGGTTAGTGGAAATGTTCCTTCTGTTACTACAGTTATCACTGGTGAAGATGCAAAGACCAGTGCCACTAGTAAGAAGCGCAAACTAAGGCATTCTATGGGATCAGTTAAACTTAGTGAAAATTTAGAGAGGGGGAATACATGTCTTCAAGCAATTGAGCGTCTCTTGACAAAAAAAAGAGAAGGTTGTTGATAATTGTGCAAGTGTTGGAGATATCATGGAAATTATGACTAGAATGGCTGATAATGGCGGGCTGGTGAGGAGTGGTGACTTATGGTTTCACAGCATTTGTATTCTGGATAATCCTACTAGAAGACAATTCTTCATAAACTTTAAAGATGACGATGAAAGGCTCAACTCGTTGAAGTTTATGCACGCAAAAGAAATGTTTTAAATACCAAGTCATACATTTAGGATACAAATTTAATATTTTAGATTGCATATTTAATTTTAATTTTTATATGTTGAGACTTCTAATTGAAGTGATTTTAATTTTTATATGTTGAGATTTGAGATTGAAGTGATTTAAATTTTTATATATTGAGACTTGATATTGAAGTGACTTATTTTCATTCATTTGTTTATTTATAGGAATATCATGAGTCATGATGAAGATGGTGAGTTTATGCTTCTTATTATGGCTGGAATTACTATTCATGATAGAAATGATATTATTGCGTCTCATTATTACAAACATATGTATAAGGAGCCTTGCATGACATAAGCTTTAAGCGGGAAGGCTTGGATGCAAGAGGTGCTGAATGGTCATTCTATTCGTTGTGTTAATGCCTTTAGGATGTCATCAGATCTATTCGCACGCCTATGTAAGGATTTACAATCAAAATATGACTTAACATCAAGTGACAAAATCACAATTGAAGAAAAAGTAGGTATATTTATATACACTCTAGCTTTGGGCCTTTCAAATCGAGATGTGGCTGAGAGATTCCAAAGATCTGGAGATACTGTAAGTCGGGCATTTCATGAAGTCTTAGAATCCATCACAGGTAGGAGTAAGGGATATAAGGGACTTGCACGTGATATGATTGCACCTATCGATCGGGCCTTCCCGTATATCCCTTATCATATTTTTAAGGATAAAAGATATATGCCATATTTCAAAGATTGCATCGGGTGTATCGATGGAACACACATAGCTGCATGTATCCCTGTAAAGGAACAACTGCGTTATAGAGGAAGAAAAGGTATCCCGGCCTTTAATGTTATGGCTGTGTGTGATTTCAACATGTGTTTTACATTTCTATCAGTAGGGTGGGAGGGATCTGCTCATGATACACGTGTATTCCTTCATGCTATAGAGACACCGTCATTGAACTTTCCGCATCCACCTGAAGGTATGTTTTATTGTTAATTCATTAAACTCGTAGGCATAATTTTAATCATATTTTTAAAATTTATGTAGGTAGATATTACTTGGTGGATAAAGGCTATCCGGATCGAAAAGGATATCTTGTTCCTTATCCCAAGCTACGATACCACTTGGAGCAATTTGAAAATGAAGCACCAACAAATGCTCAAGAAGCTTTCAATCGCTCACACTCATCTCTTCGTAGTTGCATAGAGCGTTCTTTTGGGGTTTTGAAAAAGAGGTGGAAAATATTATCAAGAATGCCTATGTTTAGCGTTAAAACGCAGATAGATGTTTGCAACATTTGCTTTGCACAACTATATTCGCAAATTCTCTAGTGATGACATGATTTTTGAGGTTCTCGGGCGCCATCCAGACTTCTACCATGTGATGATCTTGTTGACATTCAGAACTCAACTTCAAGTTCCATCAATTCACAAACAGAAAGCTGCACTGAGATGAAAGAACTTCGTAACAATATAGCATCCTTGATATGGACTAACAGAAAATAAATATTTTCGCTCTTATTAGTCAATTATGATGATGTGCATGTTTACATATTTATTTATTACAACTGTTTCCAACTTAAATGTTAATTTTATGATTATTTATTTTGTATGGTATACACGATTTTTTAGAATTCAATGCACTATGTTGTGTTTGTGTGTGTTGTGTTGTGTTGTATTATATTATATTACCTCCGTACCACTAACATTGGGATATTAGAAGATCACACGATTATTAAGAAAAGTGAGTTTATGTAGTTGATATTGCATTTATAAAGTAAGAATAAAGTAAAAATGATTTCGAGTCACACACACAAACTTTACCGAATTTGGTATGAGGCGATATTAGTGGGATTTCCCGAAAAAAATGAGACAATCTTAGCCGGACGGATGAAGTATTATGTTATGTTATGTTATGTTATGTTATGTTATGTTATGTTATGTTATGTTATGTTATGGTACGCTGAAGCTTAGGGCAGCTTAAAAAGATTTCAACTTTTTTAGTTTAATTTTTTAAAATTTTCATATTTAGCACACACGTTAATATTTAAACCTAGTATAATTGTTTTTCAGCACACACGTTAATATTTGCCATGTCCATCGCTCCCATTGCTTTGCCCCTCTTTTATGCATCGACAGTGCCTGTTAATTCTTCCAATTCATCATCTCCATGCGCCATATCACTTCACTCTTTCCTACGATTGGGTCGTCTTCTTTTTCTTCTCTTAACCCTGGTCCACCATTTCGAGGAAATGACAGGCAGACGGTAGTTTGAATATGAGATGCAAACAACGAGATTTCATTTTAAGGTACTCCGTATAAGAATACAGGATTGGGAAAGGCCTCTTCTGATACAAAGACGCATAGTTCCAGTTGAACTTACACACCATGCTAAGTTAATTCTGTATAAGAATACGGGATTGAGTCGGAACGTACTATTTCAGACCCGGACCCGCTAAGTTAATATGGATCCGTACCCGACCCGTTTACCCGGCGGGTCTGAAAATTTGAACCTGGACCCAGATCCAACGGGTCTCGGAATCGGGTCGGGTAGACCCGCCCGCCAAGTATGATACGCATAATAGAATTATTAGAGGCTTAGTATTGTACTTTAGAT